ACGATGAAAAGCTTACCTATCTGAAAACGCTCGTAGTGGGTAAAGCAAAATCCGCAATCGCTGAGTATAGCTATAGCGGAGTACTATATAAAGACGCTTTAGCAACTCTTCAAAGAAAGTTCCGGCAGCCGCATGCTGTAGTAGGGGCTCATCTAGATAAATTGAGTAATTTTCCGCCGCTGAAAATGCACAAATCGGAAAATGTAATTGGCTTTTCCTCTACAATTTCCGGACTTGTTGCTGTATTCAAGTCTCAATCTTTAAGCGATGACCTGAAAAGTGTTAATTTACTGAATCAGGCTGTGAGTAAGTTTCCACCAAACCTTAAGGAAGCATGGTCAATGCAAACCGTAAGACGCCAGTGGCATTGACCAATTTTGCTAGATTTCAACGAATGGCTTAAAGAAAAAGCGGAGGGTCATGAGAGGCTAAAGACAATTAATTATAAGGTTAAGTCTGAAGAACCAGTGAAGCAAAAAGTAGGTACGAAAGTGTTTGCTAGTAATGCAAAGGTGAGTGATAGGACTAAGGAAAAACCAAAGTTCCCTCCATGTTCTGTGTGTAAAGGTCAACACGCTCTTTGGAATTGCGCCGTATTCAAAGAGAAAAACGCTAAGCAGCGAGCGAAACATGTAGCCGAACAAAAACTTTGCTTTGCGTGTTTACAGAGCAATCACAGTTTTCGTAATTGTAGCAAGGCCAGAAAGTGCCCCAAGCCAGATTGTGAAAGCACGCACAACGTGCTCTTACATGGAGCTGAGAAAATTTTTCGTCCTAAGGTTACTAAAAGTTCCCCGGCGTCAGGTAACACAAACTCTAAACATGTATCGACTAATGCTGCCGTCGGCGATATTCATAGCCAGGAGTCAACTAGAGGCCTCCTGCCAGTTGCATCACTCGCCGTCTCTTCGGATGCGACAATTACTAATTCCCTAGCTCTTTGCGATAGTGCTTCCACGCACTCATGGATATCCGCCGATCTCGTAAAACGCCTCGATTTGGTTGGCACTCCCGTTAACTCCACCATAAATGGATTCAATTCCACGAGCTTGATGAAAACTCATCAAGTAAGTTTTCAAGTTTCCGCTGAAACGAATAATAGTGAATTTTCGTTTTCTTTTCGAGCCCATGTTAAGGATCATATTTGCATTGGATCGGATAGCATAAGTATTCCTGAATTACAAGAAAAATACCCGCAGTTGGCTCCGATAAAACCTATACATTTTAAGTATGAGGAAGTCAAAATAATTATTGGACAGGATTTCTACCATGCCATAAGACCCGTTGAGTACCTTCTGGGGGAGGACTCTATTTCACCGAGCGCCGTACGCCTTCCGATAGGTTGGGTTTTAAGTGGTCCGTTACCGCCGTCCTTTAAGTCGAACTCGTCTTGCTTTAAGTGTGTTGTCGAAGACATGTCTCTTGCGGACCAATTTAAAACACTTGGTACGAGTTGGAGTCCTATGGAGCCTTCAAGCAGGTAGATGCCCGTTCCGCCGCCGACAAACGCGCTTTGTCCGTTTTAAAAAATGACACCTTTCACGATGGAATGCTTTGGAACGATAAGGAAAGTACTCTACCGAATAACTATTTTTCCTCCTTAGCTCAATTGTCTTTGGAAAAGAGGCTAGATAAGGATCCGTCGCTCCGTGAAAAATACGCCGAAACAATTAGAGAAGATATACAAAAAGGATATGTCATAACCGTTAAGGCACACGATCCCAAATCACGAGCCGATCGTGAGTGGTATCTCCCGCATCACCCGGCATTGAACTCGAATAAACCCGGTAAGATGCGCCGAGTCCTCAATGGGGCATCGAAGTGTCATGGCGCTTCCTTGAACAAATCTCTGTTGGTTGGACCGGATCTCTTTCAAAACCTCATTTTTGCACTTTTAAGGTTCCGTCAGCATAAATACGCCGTTTCAGCTGACATTGAAGGGAGGTCTTTACAGGTTGGAGTCCGTGAAGAAGATCAACCTTCTCTTCGTGGCGGGAGGACCCCACATCAAGTGTGGTAGTTCATCAACATACGCGTCACATTTTTGGTGCTCGTGACCCGCCGAATTGTGCGAATTTTGCTTTGCAGAAGACTGCATCGGATAATGAAGCTGAGTACCCCGAAGCTGCTTCGGCTGTTGTCCAGAAATATATATAGATGATTATCTGGATTCTTTTCAAAACAGGAATGACGCCTTGTAATTAGGTAGGGATTTAATCTCGTTGCATAAACTAGGTAGGTTTCGTCTGAAAAAAATTGTCAGCAATGTGCCCGACGTAATAACTGCTCTTGATCCGGACAACCGTGCGTCCAATGCCTCTCTTAAAGATATTTGTGCGAGTCCGGACCAGTCGTCGCATGTTCTCGGTCTAAAGTGGGATCACGTAAAAGATACCTTAATCATTAGTAGAGGGGTTGATCGTCCACTAGACAAAGCAATCACTCAGCGTACCGCGTTGAGTTTTGTTTCCTCTGTTTTTGATCCAATTGGGTTAGTGGCTCCGTATACCGTGAAGGCTCGCCTTCTATTAAAAGATATCTGGCGAATCAGCGGTCAAAAATGGGACGATGATCTGCCAGAGGAAATCAAAAAGCAATTCCTTGAGTGGCACTCAGGTCTTCATTTGTTAGGTTTTCTGACAATACCTCGCAGCTATTTCACTGAGCCTTTCGACCGAATAGAACTTCACATGTTCGGTGATAGTTCGCAGGATGTTTTCTGTGCCGTCGCTTTCCTTCGTGCGCGACTTGCTAGCTCCCATCAGACCGAATTAGCCTTTGTGTTTGGCAAAGCCCGCGTCGCGCCTATGAAAGCGCTTTCTATTCCAAAGGTAGAGCTTGAAGCGGCTCTTCTTGCAACCCGCTTAAAAGAAGAAATTTTGAAAGGTCTTTCTTTCAAAGTTACGGATATTTTCATGTGGACAGATAGTACCACTGTTCTGCAGTGGCTTCACTCTTGTAGTAAACTACCCGTTTTTTTTGGTAATCGCATTGGTGAGATTCTGGAGTCTACCACCCCTGATCAGTGGCACTACATACTTAGCAGTGACAACCCAGCTGATACCGGTACACGATGGATTTCTTCGGAAGCCCTCAAGGAAAGCAGCTGGGTTAATGGCCCTAGTATACTGAGAACAACTGATTGGCCGTTCAAGCCCGATGCAAGGGTTATTGATAAAATAAGACTCAAACGACCATCATGTGATATCGACATTTGTCTGGAAAATTCGTCAATTTTTGTCGTCGATGTTTTGACAGAACAAAATCTTCCCTTCGGAAAATGGAAGAGATTCAATTCAATTGTAAAATACAAACGCACAGTAGCATTTTTGTTAAGATGGCTGCCATCCCATAAACATTTCCGGTCGAGTATATTAGAAATTACAGACCCGTCTGAAATGGATATTGCTGAACAGAAGCTCAATTACCTGTCCCAGGGTGAGACATTCCCTAGTGAGCTAAAACTAATAAGAGCCGGTAAAGTTATCACGAGGAATAGTCGGATCGCCAAGTATTCGCCGTTAATTGGACCAGCTGGCATCCTTCGCTCTACTGGGCGCATCAGCCCCTTGGTTAATTCCAATTTCGATAGCAAGCATCCGATTTTACTTGATGCACGTCACGCGGTTGTTCGGTTATTAGTTCAGCACTTGCACGTTAGGAATTTCCATCAAGGCTTGGATTACATGCGTGCGGTGGTTAATTTGAAGTACGTTGTGTTAAATTTGCGATGGTTGCTGCGAAACATTGAAAATACTTGCGTTGCGTGCCGAAAACGCAAAGCGCAAACAGTAACTCATATTATGGCTGATCTGCCATTGAAAGGCTGAGTTACAAGCAACCTCCTTTCTCTAACACAGGTGTCGACTACTTTGGGCCGTTCCTAGTTCCAATCCGGAGAAGTACGGAAAAGAGATAGGGTTTTTTGTTCACCTGTCTCACCACTAGGGCGGTGCATATTGAAGTGGTTCCCTCGCTCGACACAAGCTCTTGTGTGATGGGCATAGAGAGGTTTATTGCACGTCGCGGTACTCCGACTACCATCATGTCCGACAACGGCACGAACTTTGTTGGCTTAGTTCGGAGTGTTAAGCGCGTCTTGTATGACACCCTAGGCAACAGAAGAGTAACTGAGGAGGTTCTAAGAACCACGTTGTGCCTTGTTGAGCAATCACTTAACGCTAGACCGATAACAGCCGTTAGTACCAATCCGCTAGATCAAGAGGCGTTGACCCCGAATCATTTTATCCTTGGTCAATACGCAGCGAGTTTTCCGTCGCTAAGTTTCGAAGAAAACTTCGACCATAAAAGCGGTTCGCCAGAGCGCAATCATACGCTAACGCAATATGGACACGGTGGATGCGGGAATACTTGGTTTGGGTCATAGAGCCTGACACTCCACGTGGACATTATCCACTCGCACGTATCCTAAGACTGCACTATGGCAAGGACGGATGCGCGAGATCCTCCGACATAAAGACCGTTACGAGCGAACTGACCCGCCCGGCCGTTCTTCCTTGTTTAGGGGTGGAGGATGTTGCAGCGCAAAGATAAAACAAGAGTATAAATGTAAATGCATATAGGGACAGTAGCCAAGCGTATACATGGTGCGTCCCGGCGGGTTCGGCGCCGGTTCGAATCTCGCCTAGGTCATTTCCTTTCTACCACTGAAATATGCCCCGAACTTGATGGGATGCTCCGTAACCAGGTTCGACCCCCCCCCCCCAAAAAAAAACCTACTTTAACCGTCTTTTCGCTCTAATTTGGTTCAGCCTTGATTAAGGCTGACCTTTAAAAAGAGCAATTTGTCTCAAGGACAAATACTGGCCATTTTTGCAGCTTGCTTTGAGTTATGCAGTGTTTTTGTGGCCGATGTTACCGATGTTACCGATGTTAACAATAAAAAAGGTTGTTGAAATTTATCGTTATGTTTTCAAATTTACCGAGTTATTTTGCCTATAAAAAATCTTGACTCCCCTATTAGGTTGAGTATATCTCACCGGGAGACCCAGAGGCCAGCTGAGATGAGTCCGGCTTCCATACTGAGCGTCTGATGCTGTTGCCCTTGACTTGGTACAGCAGAGATGATGATGCACAGAAAGCTCCGACCACCAGGGAGCCACCACCTGAAGTTGAACACAAATTAACCCCACTTCTAAACACACTTATAAATTGCAATGGTTTCAGAAATTTCAGATTGATATTAATGAAAAAATACTAAATAGGATTTCAAAGCAGATGTGGATCCAGGGTTTTCTCAAAGCAAGGGGATTTTCAACAACTTTAGACTTTTTGTTATAAGTCCACCAAATTGAGTTTTGCAATCTCTCATTTTCAATATTATTGGTTACACCAGCAAAATTGCGTTTTTAGGTTCGCTCTCTAGTTTATTATGCATTGGTGGCCATGGCGCCTTTAGAAAACTTTGAAAATTGGTCGAACAAAATTACGAAATTTGACATGGTACTAGAATGGACCAACGAGCTGTTCAGAATGGACCAACGAGCTGTTCAGATTTTAAGGGAGGACAACTGTTGTGTCCCTGCTTAAATACTGCCAAAGTGGTGAGAGAGGAGCTTATTGGTAAACATGAAGATGAAGTCGAATTCCTGAGACAAAGCAGGCGTCCGCCCCGTAGCGGATTTTGCGGCGGGGCGGAGGTGGGGGGGGATTGAGGACAATTTCTTTCTTCAGCCATTTGACCCTTCTTACCTAAAAGTTCCCCCTTTGGTACTATTTCAAGAGCTCCATTTTTGGCTGGCTGACTCTAAAGTTTTTCTAAAGGTCCCTTTGGTGCCAATATATACTAAATTTGATGGAGGAGAGCGCGCCAAAAAAACCATTTTTTGGTTAAAACAGTCCACAAAGTCCCTGGAAACGCTTTGGTCAATTTAAAAAAAGATGGACAATTTGGTCGATTTAAAAAAAAAAGTCGCAAATGTTTGGAAATGTTTTTTGAAAAATCCGCCCTTCCCTCCACTCCTAGAGAAAATCCTAGATCCGCCCCAGCCATTCCCCAGCCCCCATCGTTTACGTCAAAATCCGCTCCTATTTCAAATTTTTCTCTTATGGAATTTTTCAAATCAATAGTTTAGTTTCTTTTATCAAGCAATATGCACTTTCTAGTAAACATATTTTCGCATTGGTTTTACTATAGACAAGCACCATCAAATTTTACTTTTAATAATTTTCAATCTCACCCTTCTTGTTCCCATGCCTTTCATTGATTGAGTCATGCCTCGGAACCGTTTCATAAAGCGCACGCCCACCTATAACTGAAGTACCACCCCCGGCGCAAGCACCTTCTCCTGACACCCGAGCACAATAGAAGGATGGCGTCGGCTCATTTGTAAACCTTGGCCTGTATGCAGAGTCCACAATGCTTTTGCCATCGGATGCTCGTTTCGTCAAAGATGGTACTGAGGTTCCCGTTTGCCGACGATCGGTGACTCCTGGATGACCACTCCTGGCGATACTGGTTGAAGGAGCTCCAGAGCTGACATTAGTCGAAGATTGAGCAGAGTTTGTTGTGACAGTGTCTGCTTTGCCACTAGTGCCTCCAGCGACCGAGTTTAGAGCTTCAGATCCGATTATTGTTTCGGATCTTATCAATGCTGGATTGGAGAGTCTATGCTCGTAACCTGGTAATGAAGATGAAAGAACGAACATTTACGATTAAAAGATCGTGAAGTCTACTGAAAGGATTTAAAGCCCTATCGTAATTAATGCTCATCATTTCAGTGCGGGGGCGAAGAAACCAACCAAAAATGGTTCATGGCTATTGGACGAAATCGACAAAAATCTAAAGCGGTGAACATAAAATTGCTGATAAATAGTCACTTTTTCAGCTAAAATGATTGCTATCTAAATTTAAGACAAAAATGAAGAAAAAAAATATTTATGTAAAAAAAGATGTCTTAACGGTTTTAGTTTTTGTTATAGCTTTATGAGTTGAGTTTTATTACTTTTTATTTCAGCTAACCTCCCATGTTTACAGTCGGTTTTTCGTATGTCAGCGCCGACGAATACTTTCGTTGTATGCCACCCCATGACACCCCCGCGCCATCGGCTCTTCTTTCCGGCAACGCCCTAGTGTCAACTGCAGGGTTCATTGCGCTAACTCTTGGTTCTGTGTTGTCGTTGTTGTTGTTGTTGTTGTTGTTGTTGTTGTTGTTGTTGTTGTTGTTGTTGTTGTTGTTATTATTATTATTTGAGTTTGTCGGTGAAGACGAGAGGGATAAAGTCGGTATGGTTTCGTATTCGTGAGCATCGCTCACCCAAACTGTGGTGCCCCCTGAAATAACCTGTTGGTATTCAATATTTGATATTTCTTACTATTTGGGTCAAAATTTATATTAACTGTTTTTTTACAGGCCATAGGTTAAAAACCCATTCCTCTGATTATTTTTTTTTTGTTTGCGAAAAGGCAGATAATCAAAACAATGTCCTATTCTTTAACCCCCAATATTCACACCCTCTACTTTGTAACCCCGTAAAAAGATTTAAGCCATTTTAATACCGATAATTTGTGTCAAATTATGTCTTTTCTTAACTACTGTAATTAAGTTTACTAATTGAAAGCCATTCCTAATTCAATTGATGCCTCTAGCATATCAAGCATATATGCATTTCAATTAGTTGAAGCCGAAATTATCTCTCATTCACGCGTTTAAAACAGAAACAACCTACATGGGGCTAAATGAAAGCAACACATGACTTTTAAAATATTTACATAAAATCATACTGCCTTACACTTGAACAATTGTTTTACCATTCTGTGAGCTTTAACGTTTGAAGCGTCCCTCCATTCCAATTTATCTTCCAAAGACAATCAATTATTATTGATATCAGGCCACGAAAACTATCTTAAACGTAAGAACAAAACCAATACGGACTGGAACTGCTCAAAATACCAAGCTCATAGATGCCGAGCAATAGCAATTACGGATGGCGAAATTTTAATTGAAAGGAGGGCTGAGCATAATCATGACATATATCTGGGAAAACTTGCTGCTCGACTAGTTTTAGAAAAATCAAGGACTTGATCGAGAGTAATACCTCGACTGTCGCAGTCGCCACAACAATTCAGCCCATAACAGACAATATTGCCACTCGATTAGCCCAACTAACTAACAAAAATTTGTTCGACCTGCACAAGGCATGCGCAAGCAACGAGAATAGTTTTACTAGTCTCCACTGCAAAAATTTTTTTCGCAATATCCGAGCTATTCAAGACGTTGCACTGTATGTTGACAATTCAAAAAAATTACAAAATCTAGATGGTTCGAAAAATAAGATAAATTTTATTTTAAAATGATCAGCATTTAAAAAATACTTGGATTTTTTGTTCACAATTAGTTTGATTTCTATGTTTCATTTAAATTCAGCCAATTGATCTATTATTAACTATTATTAACAACGTCAATATATTTCGACGTATATTTTATAGACCAAGTTCAACTTTGGAGAAATCTATTCATTTTTGGTTAATAACTTGAATCATGTCGATCGGATTAGTTTCCAAGATTATATCATAATCTAGACTATCGGCAAGGCCATTTCTGTTCAAACCTAAACCGCATTTAGCAGCTTGCATGTTATTTCGTTTTGCTTCGCAACATTTTTTGCAATTAAAGCTTTGATGTTTACCGACTCTATGGTTCCAAATTCGTTTCATGTAAGTTTCACTTTGGTTTTGACAATTGGTTTTAAAAAGGGTTGAAATTGTAATGATATTGTCTACCTCTGGGGTTATATGAGAGGGGGTTAAGAAATGGGGGTTAAAAAACGCGAGGTGATATGCTTGGGAGCCAATCAAAACGTAGCGGGATCAATTTCAATGAAAGCAGAATAATTTCAGAACTTGTCAAATTAGTTTTTGAGAGTTGAAGTTATCATTTCAGCTGTAAATCTTTGAACGAATTGAACCGAACCCAAAGACCTCAAAATTTGTAACCGATTGGCCATACCTCCAGATGTAACCATACCCGCTGTTCCTGCCCCTCCCCCTCCCCCTCCCGTAGTTCCCGTTCCCCCGTGAGTCATCATCTCTGAAGTTCTCTCCTCTGTAATTCGGTCGTATAATTGAGCTCTCCTGTTTCTCGGAAGCTCTTTATCGTACCTATAAAAACCGTTTTTATTCGTTCGGAGCAAACTAATCCTCAAAACTAATAAGGCCTTTATAAAGAGGCCTTTATTAACATTTTAGGGTTAATTGACTCAAAATTGAAAACTTAAACTAGCAATTGTGGTAAGGTTTTTGAAATTATGAGAAGAGGTGGGCCTTGGTTCAACGACCTTTTAAACTGAGAGGTAGAAAATTTAGCCACTTCACCACTTTTCTGTGCTTTTCTCATGATCGTTTCTTGAAAGTATCATTAGAAATATCTAAGAAAAAATACTTTTGCTCATGTGTAGAGCTGTTATTCGTATGTGCAGTTCCGTCCGAGTACCTCCTGCCGAAGTAGGCAAACGAATCCGGGTCCGAATCCCGACGACTCTGAATGACTTCCGCTCGACGTTTATTTATGCTGTTTCCGCCTATTCCCACCGGCGGCGGCATTCTGGCAGGTACATATCTCGGACTGGTTCTTATTGTTCGGTTGGTTGGAAGGAGGGGAGGTTGGTTCATGATGAGCCGTCCTTCCCTGGTTGATTCTTGTGTGCCATCGCTCAAATAGGGTGACTCACCATGGTAGGGTGACTCGGGTTTGACGCCCAAGCAGTCGTAGGAAACAGCGTCGGCTGTTTGTAATTGGTGATCGGGCACTAAATGGGTTTTCTGACTGAATTTCCCACGTTTCGCCCCACACATTATTTGCCCCTCTTGAATTTAGTGGCACATTTCACCCCTCACACATTTTGCCCTTAATATGTGTAGGCGAAATATGTGTAGGGCGAAATGTGCCAAGAATTTCATGAGGGGCGAAATATGTGAGGGGCGAAATGTGTAAATACTTTTCAGACTATAAAATTATACTTAAGAAAACCACCCTTAATTGAATGTGAATTCATTATGACTGCATTTTATTGTTCCATCCTTCTAAGCGAAGACTTCCTGTAACATATATTATGAATACGTCAATTCTTTGGCATTGGAAGTTAGAAAGTTTTAATTGGATTTTTTAAAAATTATCTTCCCTTTGGTACATTTTCGTGACATTCAATTTTAATTCGACCAAACAAAAAGATTTTGAAAACACATTTTTGTTGCCTACAGAAACTACGATTAAGGGGAAGCGTTTTTTGGCCAAAATTTTCAAAGAGTGACCTAAATGTATGTACTGTTGGTTCGCGGACTGTGTGTTTACGGTTCTTTTAATTTTAGAGGTGATGAAAATTAAGGAAAAGTCTACATATTTCAACAATTGAATTTTGAAGAAAAATTAAATCGCGTTGAAAATTTTTGCGTTTCAAGAGTTGTTTAAGATTGGCACTTTTCCTCGAAAATATCTCATTTGGAAAATTCTGTAGTTTTTGGTACTTCGCAGGGAATTCAAAAACTTAGTCTATTTTGAAAAAAAAAAATTTATTCGCGTTTTTCGTGACCCTTACACTTTTTCGTTTCGACAGTGAAATTTGTCTTTCTTTCAACAAAAACGGAATATAATTTAAAAACATAGCCAACTGATAAGAAAAAAATGAACGCAAGGAAACTGAAAAGAAACTGACTTGTTTTTTCAAAACACTTCAACAACTTTTGAATTTCGAAGAAAAGAATCGATGGCTTTGAAGCTCTTTGAATTTGGAGAATTAAATCATGATAGATAGTTTTTTGTCAAATTAAAACAGTTTGAAAAAACTGGATCACTATGTAAAGCTTTTATTAAGCTGGGAAATCTGATTATCTGTTTCAATTTTCGAAATTAAAAGTCCATCAAGTTTTTTGTGACCTTTACACTTTTCCTGTTCGATAGTGGAGTTAGCCTTTTCTTTAACAACGGAAATGCACTGAACTTGAAAAAATCACAAATGAACACCGAAAAATCAAAATTGAGCGTGAACAATTTTAGGCCTTTTTCTTATAAAAAAAAACAAAAATAATTCACCAAGACCTATATACGAGTACTCATGATATTCATTTCTCCTAATCATAAATTAAACCACTTAAAAAGAAGTTTGAAAGCGAACAAATCTTAGGACTTTTAACTGAAAAAAAGCTCATTACAACCTATATAGCGGCAATGATTTTTTTAACATAAAAAATAGGCAAATTTGTTGCTTTTTTTCTTCAACTTTCCAATTATATTTTGAAATATATTGATAAAAACCAAACTAAGTTGCTTCAAGTCGATTTGAATGGATTGAAAATTGAACACAATCGACTTGAAATGCATCAAAATAAGGCTGCAAAAAGACAAAAGGATGAATTTAAATCAGTTTAGAAGCCATTTAGTTTGATTTTTTTTTAAAGTTTGAGTATTCGATTTTTTTTCTAAATCGAATTGATTTCAGTATAAGTTCGTATTTTATGTCTAGACTTTTTTTC